TGCCATTTTTACCAGGGAAAAATGTTCATTTTTTAGGAAAGTTACGAATGTTTTCCCTCAAAATTTTCAGACGCTTTAGATCAAATTACAAACAATATTATCCGAGAAATTGGCGGAAAACTATTCAAAGATTTTCCTGAAAATGAGTGATATGCCAGAGGAAATTTGGCAACGCCTGAAGGCTCGTACAGCGTTCTTCCTTAGCACGGCAGGGATACCCGCGTACAAGTTTTTGCCATACAACGTGAGAAAAAGACCGGTGAACACTGAAAAAAAAAACCTCGGTGTATTTACTAAGAAAAGGGTAAAATTACCAAGAATTCAGGGTTTTATTTGATCCCAGTTTTTTCTTGGTAAAATTACCATTTATGGAATCGGCAATTTTACCGAGAAATTTCGGTAAAATTACTGAACTTTCCCGGTAATTTTACTGGATCTTGGTAAAAACACCAATATTTTTTATCGACTGTGGTAGAGTTACCGAGATAAAGTGGCAAAGTTACCGGGAATCGATTACCAATAAAAGTGGTATTCTTTTCTGTAAAAAAACAGTAAAAATGCCGGTTTTTAGGTGAGCTTACCAGTCTGTCTCGGTAAAATTACCAATAATTGGTAAAAAAAGTGAAATGGTAAAGGTACCAACGGACCTTGGTAAAAACGCCGAGAATTTTTTTTCAGTGTGGCGGAAAACTATTCAAAAATTTTCCTGAAAATGAGTGATTTGCCAGAGGAAATTTGGCAACGCCTGAAGGCTCGTACGGCGTTCTTCCTTAGCACGGCAGAGATACTCGCGTACAAGTTTGGGCCTTACAACATGAGAAAAAGACCGGTGAACTAAACGGGAATTCACCCGGGCAAACGAGGAGTTTTATGCAATAGAGATCCCTGCTCTGCGGTCAAAAATCCCACGACGCCAATAGGATGTGAGTACATGACTCACAACTCACTACTCGAAGTCGTGGTGACCGCGATTCCCCTGACGACTCGGATTAGCGATGCTGGTACCGCGGTACCGGTTCCAGCAACCGCTTTTTCTCCGCAAATCCCGTTCCCCGTTCCGTCTTATGCTCGTTAACTTCGATTACTTGAAAGTAGAATTTAGTAGAGCAATAAATGAATGCTCAACCACCGAGACAATTTTTAGGTATTGTTCTTTTAGTAGCGATAGAGTCTACACGGGAAGAAATAAGTTGTGGCTGGACCCTAATTTTCAAAGTCAGCTACAATTTATTGGTTGAAATGGCCATCTCTGATTAATTAAAATGATTGATGAATGATGATTGATAAATGGATTGCATTTTGCAAAAAGGAACCACTAGCATTGCAATGATGCTAAGATTGTGCAACTTCATCTTTTGCAATAAAATTGCGGATATCGTGAAAAACTATGAAATTTAGATGGTAATTTTTGTCTTAAATTTACAGTTTTTAGTGAGTAAAATAGAAACTATTAATGGATAATCGGGTTTTTCCTCCGAGACAAAAGAAGTTGCACAATCTTAGCAACATTGCAATGCTAGTGGTTCCTTTTTGCAAAATGCAATCCAAATGAGGAGTGATGTGTTTTGCGATTAATTAGAGGCGGCAATTTTATCGAATTATTTGTGACTGTACCGCCGTCTACACTGTTTTTACGTGTGGCTTTTGGTGCTCCTTACTCAAATCGTCGCTTCTCTGGCGTCAGGGTATATCTCAATTTCCGCTTGAACCTTAAAAAGTATAGATTTATAAGTAAATCAGGGCTCACGTGGAGGTTGAGGTACGCCCTTACGCCAGCGAGGCGACAAAAGAACCGGTAAAGACGGTTGTGGGTGACAAAAAAACTGTACCTGTTGAGACTCGTTGGTTTCTGCCCGCGGCTCCAATGTTATTCGAAGCCGATAATGGTTTGTGATTTAAAATGGTGCTCATTTTGAATATGTATCAAAACAAACTTGAGCCCATGAAAAATGAACTATTTTTCGGCAAAATGTTTATCATCATTAAGATTTGGAACTTTGACAGGTGTGCTCGAAAATTTTACATAGACTCGAACTAGGTCACCACGAAAAATAAGGAAAAATTCAATTGTTAAAGCGACAGCTGGTATCGTTGGCCGTGGAAACAGAGATACATCATAGAGACCCTATGACGATACAAAGAAGTGAAAAAGTCGAGCGGCTATACCTAGAAAAAATTTACTTTTTATCTCTCTTTTGATATGACTTTTCGATTTAAGGGACGGTGTTCCTCTAAAATTCAGTATTAAATTACACCCTAAACGTAACCTATCTGTCACCTCGAGTAACGTAAATTGAGAGGATTTTCCTTTTTTTAGGCGAAGTAATTTAGACTGATCCCAAATCCTCAACGTAGAAAGATTAATCAACGATTAATTAATGAAGGGAAACATGTTTACAGCTTTCCGCAAATAAAAGTTTTCTGCCCAGAAAATTTAATTTGTAGCAATCAATTGCTCCTAGCACGCGGCACTCACTTTTCAAGCAAAATACAAACAACTTTGTCATGACGGTATTTTTCTTGGTGCATGCATGCGCCGAAGTTTGCACTTTCCTCGATCAGAATTCATCAAGTCTTGATGAATGAGACTCATTAATTTTTCAGTTCGAGCTTCAGGAATCAATTTCCTAATTAAAAAGGAAGTTAAAATTGTTCGCTGGGTTTGATAAATTGGCAGATTCCACTTGATTTTTATCATGATCTTTCGCAACCGGAGTTTCGTCTCTAAATGCAAAATATTTGCGACGGTTTGGTTCTTATATTCTCTTGATGAAAACTAAAATACTTAACTACTTTCCCTCTTGCGCATCAGAGCCTCTGTATCACGGATAAAAAAACTTTGTGAGCGGGACCTGAAGTTGAGGTCATATGGATCTCTGAAGTTTTCGGATCACGTATCTAAAAAGTTGAGGTCCAGCAGCCGAATTTCAGGTCAGACATCTGAAGTACTTCGATACATACCGAAGGGCTCGGGTCACACATCTGAAGTATTCCGGTACATACCGAAGTGTCTCGATGTTTGATCCGAACTTCAGCAGCTCGACCTTAAGTTTTCGGATGCGTGATCAGAAAAGTTCAGAGATCCATGTGACCTCAACTTCGGGTCCCACGCACGAAGTTTTTTTCTCCCTGTACACTCTCCATTCCTCCCAAGAGCATAACAAGGAAGACAAATTACGCAGAGTTTTTGGTGAAAAAATAACGGTTCTGGCTGCAGTTGGTATTCTTCACAGTAACATGAGATTTGAATCTCCATCTGATATGATAAGGCCGAGATGAGATAACTTATAAGGCTCAAATGATTATACAATTTGATCTAGGTGGAATCTATAGGATAAACTTGCTGTCATATATTAATGACCATTTAATCAAATGTTGGAAATTGTGATGTTTGTACTTCAAATTTAACTACAGCTCACTACTTGAATGAATTAAGGCAAATGGAATGTACAGGAAACAACGCTGTCGAAACTTCTGAATTTCGAGGCTTGAAACGTCCGATTCTTTCCAACTTTCGAGAGAAATGGACCAAGATAACTGGGTCAAGTTAAATTAAACTTTTTTCGTTACCTACTGCTATCGGGAAATTAGTGTTGAAAAAAAAACTGCTCGGTTACAGAGATTGAATGTAATAGTCTCACTCCGCTTATTCACCAAAACAACTTCGAAAAAGGCCTTATTAAAAGACTTTCCTTCGTTTTTAGCGAGCTTTTTCAAAATTGTGCTTTCGATGGGATTATTTTACCGCTTCAAAAAAAAAAAAAAAAATTGGATAACGTGGCGCTGCCCTCCGACCCTTAATTATTCTGATATAGTTTCTCGATTTGTGACCGTCTGCGGGAAAAGATACCTTGATCCACAAAAACTACGGGTTAAATAATTGATGCCAAAGTATTTTTACCCGATTTTCAAACCAAACTGGACAAAATTCATTCCACTTAAGTTTTGTATCTCTATAAGGACGAGTGAAATCTCTCGTGAATGATGACATTTCAATTTTGGTCTGCATTCTCACAAAAGAGAGACGTTTTCTTCAAAACATCTCTAAACGGTCATCGGCACAAAATTGAACTAGATCCTTCGCTATTTATTCTTCATTTCACCGAAGAGAGTTTCAAGTCGAAATCTCAAAATTTGATTTTTCGACGGAGCTCGTCGAAAATTGCTCAACCAAAACTTTCCTGTACTGCCGCGCTAAGGAAAAACGCCTTATGAACATTCGAGAGTTGCCAAATATCCTGGAACTAAATTTTTATTTTTGAGGAAAGTCATGAATATATATCTTGATATTTTCAGGAACTTTAGGTGTAATAGCGAACAAGTATCTGAGAACTTGAAAGAAAAATATCATAAGTTTACCAGGAAATTCCTGTTTTTTCGAAAAAATTTGGCAGCCCCTGAAGGTCCATATGGCGTTTTTCCCTAGCACGGCAGTGTACCCCTTAATAATACATATGAATTTTCCCTGAACCTCTCTAAAATATTTTTTTCCGTGGAAAATGTCGTTTTTTCGATTATACATAGTATTTAAAAAAATGGGGGTAGTTAAAATCAATTTTTTTCATTCACTAAGATTGCAAAATAGCCTGCATCTGATGAAATCGACGAGGTGCTTTTTCTCATATTTTCTCATAATCTTTTATTTCAAAATTACCTGCTACTGAAGAAATCAATCAGGTCAAACTGAATTAACCATAAAAGAGCCAAATCACATTTTGGGAGAGAAAAAGTTGGGAGTGCTTTTGAGAAAAACTTGATACACACTTTTTTATGACAAAACTTCAAAGAATTAATGTCGAGGAAAACATTTTGATGTGAAAAATAGGCTGTACACCTCATATTGAACATTGCGACTTTTGGGGAGGTAAAACAAAACTTCAAACCTTTCATTTCAGTTCAATCCTGTTGTAACTTGGTTCCTCTTCTATTAAACCCAGTTAAATAAACTCCCCTATTCTCATCCGAAAGTCTGATGAAATCGATGAAGTAAGTGAACTCACCTTTTCTGGGTGGCCGGCTCGGAGACGTGTTTGATCCACTCGGCAACAAAGCTGGTGAGACTCTTAATCCAGCGCCTCCTGAAGGCATGATTCTCCATCGAGTCGAAAATCCTATCGACCTGGAAGTGACCATCCTTATCGACGAAGAGCTGGAATATCCTTCCGAGCCCACTGTTGTTCCACAGGGTCTGCCCAAGCTCGGACTGCTTGAAGTGCTCCCAGTACTCCCTCAAAATCCCCAGGAACGGCGGCAGGAACGACGACGCCTGCTCGTGCCTCTTATGCTCTTCCACATCCTCAAGCTCCTTATCCTCGTAGTGGATGTGCCCACCCCCGATGGAGTTCATCAAGACCGGGAGGAGGTTCATGATTCCCTCCATGCCGGAGCTCTGCCCGCCCTGGGAATTCGCCTGGGCCATGAAAGTCGACGCCACGCTCATGAGGGAATCCCACTGGATGCCGCCGGCGTCCTGCTTCGGGTCTACGTCGTTGCCGATGTCGTTGGACTTCCCGCTGAACATGTCCATCATCTGCCCGATGAGCGCCGGGTCGAACCCACCACTGCTGCCACCGCCGCCGCCTCCGCCGGCGCTGCTCGAGGCGTCGCCCAGGGTGCTTCCTATGTTCGACACCAGGGACCCGATGTTGGACAGGAGGTCCGGGTTCTTGGCCGTCTGCTGGAGCAGCATGTCGCCGATCTGCTTACCGCCGTCCGTCTGCATGATCGACTGCAGGATCCCGCCGATCCCCGGGCCATCCTTCTTCTGAAGGCTGTCCTGGAGCAGGGATCTGGCCGCCTCGATGAAGGGGTTCGACTCCTCGTCGATGTGGTTGGACTCGCACCGCAACACCGAGAATTTAGCCAGAACGAGGAGACCGAATAACACACTTTTCAGATGAACTTCCATGATCGAATTCGAGACACACACTATTGCATAATTTTACACTGGGAACACGACCGGTGATAAGAGGTATCGACGCGAATTTGAGTCGGACGGACGGAGAGTGGAGTGGTCTAGTTGAGGTTGCTAATAACCTTGAACTGTGTCTACGCTGGATTTCGGACTGGATGTGGAAGAGAGGAGAAGAGAGGATGGAGGAAGAGCGACGGAAAAGGAGTTGGAGGGGAGCAGAGCCATCTCCTGCCTCGCCACGGCGCTCGCTTTAGTGGATCGAGAGTAGCGGTACTCGGTGACGTAGCAACTGGGAAACGATTGTAGGTACATTCCACCGTTGAGGAGGAAGGAGTCAGCTCGGCTCAGTGCATGGGGCCGGTGGAGCGGCTCCCGGGGCCCTCCCCCCCCCCCCCCCCCNGGGGGGGGGGGGGGTTCGAGTCCCAATGTCGTTGACCTTTCGCGCGTCTTCCATCCTCCGCTGGCCTTGTCTCAACTGGCCTCTACTCCGGTTCCAGCGGCTAACCTAAAAATAAAAATAGAATGGAGTGAGAGAAAAACTGAGGGAAACTCGAGTCTATCTCACCTCGGCATCAGGAATCTCATTCATCCATGATTGAGCCGGGTACGTGCTCAAATGCACCGGCAGTGCCGAGTAGATGCACCTAAACCTATCCTACGGTCTTATCCATTCTGCCGTGCTAAGGAAGATCGCCGTATGGGCACTCGAGAGTTGCCAAATTTCACGGGGTAAAATATGTATTTTGGAGGAATATTATGCATATTTTCCCTTGAAAGTCTCAGATAATTTAGATTAAATTGCGTACAAAATTGTCCGAAAATTTGGAGGAAAAATATTCACGTATTCTCTTAAGAATTCGTATTTTATCGAAAGAAATTTGGCAACGCCTGGAGGTTTGTACGGCGTTTTTTTTTTAGCACGGCAGCAAAGCTCATGTTGCATCCCGCATGATCGCAATGGATGATATGGATCACATTTAGCAAAAAGGGACCAGCGCAATTAGAGTGTTGAAAAAAATGTTGCTTCTTCTTAATTATCTAAAAAATCTCTCTATATAGGTAGCAAATTAATTTTACTTCCCACCAAATAATTAATAATTTTAAAGGAAAATAATTGTGTAAATTTTAATATTGTACATATGAGAATTTTAAAAGAAAAGAAGAAGTTGCACAATTATGAAAACACTGTAATTGCGCTGGTTCCCTCTTGCTAAACGCGATCCATATGCTGGACGGGCTCCTGATGCGAAAGGAATAGAAGTTGAGGTGTGACCCAAATCGTATCGGGTTCTGCGAGAGGGACGTGAGTCCGCAAAAGCAAATTTTGCAGGAGAGGCTAAAAATTGAATTTCTTTTCAAGCAGGCCGGCTAAAAATTTGCTGGAGTGTTCAATGGATGGGTCAACATCTATTTTGGATCTGAAATGATTTTTTTTGGTAGAAAAACTTTCGCACTCTTTCAGGGTAATCTAAAATTGCGGATTTGCGCCTCTTTTTTTTGAGATTTTGAAGGAAAACTGAGATATGTTCTGGTAAAAAAAAAAAACAGGTTTTAGTGAGTTTTGAAATTTGTACCACCCATTTTCGCTGTTTAAATTGAGCGTTGAGGTACAAACAGGCGCAGGTAGAGACAAACATTTTAAAGCATTGTTCCGAAAAAACAATCGCAAAAACCGCGCAAATGTCCTTCCGAAGACCAAAATTATGAAAAATTGAAAATCTACTCACGCATTTCTGTCATTTTGAATGGCAACCACATCCAACTTATTCAGGTTATATTCCCAGCTCTTATTTCATGTAATATTACCGCTAAAAAGGAAACTTCTGAAATTACTAGTTTCGTTGTAATTTGCGCAATACTTCGCACGCGGATGCTTTTCGGAATTGCGATTTTGTAAGTATGCAAGATTAAATGGACGTATTTCTATCAAACGGAACTATGTGCATTAGGACATGAGCCCTGAGACCCATAAGAATACATGCATAACAGGGCTCACGTCATAAAGCACATAGTTCCGTTTGACAGAAATACGTCCAAATATTACCCATAAATTTTGAAGTGAACTTCAAGGATGACGCATGATCCTGGAGCAATCCTTGCAATAAGAAATGCACGACATGAAGAATGATATCTACCAATGGGTTCAAAATATTGTTTCTTGGTTAAGTCGGAACTTAAAGAGAGACATAAAAATGTACTCTTCGAGTAGATAACTATTCGCGCACTTAGGAATGTTTGTTGCCTATGTGACGAAATTGAAGGGGCTTAACGTGACCGATGTCTGCCAGTAGGTTAACGCATGATCAATTCTTTTAAAAAAAATGTATGGAGCGAGACTAATCTATATTTTTCGAATAGATTTGTGCTCTGTAGTATTTTTTTTTTTTTTTTTTTTTTTTTTGCCTTTGTAGAAACGCTGAAGATTAAATTCAGGTGAATGATCGACCCCTCACTTGATGAACAACATTGTCTGTCGGATCAAACGGAACGTATGTAGAGCAATAAAAATGTGTGTTTTCGAATCGGTAACTATTTGCGCTCCGAAGTATGTTTGTTGCCCATGCACCAAAATTGAAGGCGTTCTAAAGAGGAAATTAAGCGACGTGAAATGCAGTTAGACGGATTCTGCTTTGATTTTTTTCAAATAAAAAATGATGTAACTCGCGAAAAAACTGAAATTAGCCCGCGCTACGATTCAGAGCCCATCAGACTTTCATCTGTGTTTTTTTTCTCTTCTTACTTTTTCAAATCGGAGCAATCGAAACTGTAATAATCGGAATACAGGGAGACCAATTAACCCTGACCTACGATTGAAAGCCGAACATGAAGGTCGAGCGAACAAATGGAAGACAATATTCCGTGAAAGAGGAGGGTGGCGTCAATGATCTCAGCTCTTAAGTGATGGTCGACGCCACCTTTTGTTTTTCGTAAGTGGAAGAAAGAAAAATAAAGCCTTTGATGATATTTAAGTGAGGGACCTTGGTCTTCACGTTTAATTTAGGTGACCGTGAAATAGGTATGGAAAAAAGATCGAAGAATGACATGTTGACAGGCGACGGCGTTGCCAGGTCTTGTAGAAAAACAACAAACAGGGTTTAAAGCATCATGTAGACTCGAATATTTTTGTTCCTTGCGTTGCAACGTTTAAGAAAGCTATGTTGACACACTTCAAGGCGAATAAGTGAGACTGACATTAAAGTTCAGTTCGATTCGAAAATATTACCATTTTTTTATTTTGAAGGTTGAAAATGAAGGCGATTACCCCTTGTAAACACGTGTGTGAGCAAATATTCAAAGGGATCGATGTCGCCGATGGTTTTTTTGCATGACGTAAAACAAGACAAATTTTAGTTTTCGGTTTGCAGCTATGTTTAAATTGCATCTGAGTGATAAAGTATCGAAATATTCTGTAACAAAAGAGAAAGTACAAAAATAGTGTAAAAAGAAGTACGAAGTAACGAAATCAATGCGTGTACCAGGTTCTTCCTCCCTCGCCGTGTTTTCGGAGGAAATGAAGTCTCTGATCTCTTGTGATTTCCATTCCTGGGAGCTAATTCTGGAATGGAGAGGGGACTCCAAGCACCAGTTATTTTGCAGTAAGTGCTGTCGGTGGTTTAACCTTTACTTTGTTACGATTCGACGCAATTTTTAGTTTAATTTTACGGGGAAAAATGAATTACTGATTTAACAATTAAATTGTTAGAAAATATGTCCGACATGTTTCAAATTTACATTCTGCAATAGTTGAAAGCTAATTTAACTACGGGGGCGGTTAAATTAGCATATTTTTATTGTAAAATCTTCATTGAAACATGCCGGACACTTTTTCCAACCACGAAATTGTTAAATCAGCAATCTAATTTATATGAAGTTACGGAGCAGTTCAACCCTACTTTGATCCACTCAGGTTTTTTAAACTCGAGCTTGTTTTCATTGAAAACTAGCTTTGACCCCCAAAATTTGAGGGAGAGCAAAAAATTGCTACTTCAGACATACGAACATCAAGTTTCTAATTTCTATGACAGTTAGGAAAAAAGTTACACACTGAAATAAAAATCTCGGTGTATTTACGAAAAAAAGGGTAAAATTACCAAGAATTCAGGGTTCTATTTGATCCCAGTTTTTTCTTGGTAAAATTACGATTTATGGTATTGGTAATTTTACTAGAGCCCGGTGAAAACGCCAATATTTTTTATCGACTGCGGTAGAATTACCGAGATAAAATGGCAAAGTTACCGAGAATTGATTACCAATAAAAGTGGTATTATTATCTGAAAAAAACAGTAAAAACACCGTTTTTTAGGTAAGCTTACCCGTCTGTCTTGGTAAAATTACCAATAATTGGTAAAAAAAGTGAGATGGTAAAGGTACCAACGGACCTTGGTAAAAACGTCGAGAATTTTTTTTTCAGTGCAGGGGTGGTAAAACCCTTTTGGAAAACCCTGTATATCACACGTGATCATCCGCGGATCAGAGTTATCTCATGAGGCTAAGTCGTCGACTGTGGGGATTGATTTTTTTCCCACTCGGGTGTATGAATTTTGCATAATCATGGAATTGAAGGCAAAACTGCTGCACTGGCAGTTATTGTCCCTTTTTTCCTTCCGAATAGTTTAGTGATAAAAGAATGACCGTTCCGTCTGCAAGAACTCCAATCTGGCAATGAATTCTCAACGGAGTCGCGTCATCGTGACGTCACAGCGCATTTCCTGAAACGTAAGGGCGGAACTACTTTCAGATATGAACCCATTCTCCCAAATAACTCCATACTTCCCGCGGCTCGTGCGGGAGTAGAGATACGCCCTTACGCCTTTACCGAGCGACGATTTGTTTTTGAATTATAGAGAGGGCTGCGACTGGTCATCAGAAACTAGCTGTTTCTCGCGTCTAATTGGTCTGCACACACCGCTCAAGTTAAACAGCAGCGGTTTAGGGTTGTCCTGGAAACCACAGGGTAAACATAGAAATATCCATTTGAGAGTGTTGGCATTGAATTCTCACGCCGCCGCCTCCCTCAACCTCCACCAACCTCCCCCAACCTCCTCCGCTTTGATTGCGTTACGGTCGCCGACATGACATTTCAGTATACATTTCAGCCGTCGTACATGTGTTCAGTATAAACCCTTTCAAAACGCAACACTCACAGCGATACCTCTTATTGTTCGGTGATGTTGAAGCCCATTTTGGATGATATTGCCGCGTGGTGTCTTTATGAGGAAGAAGAAAATGAGCAATAGTAGTAACGATAAATTTCGGATCATTAACAAAGATAATTGGACCTCAAAAGGCTAGATGTAAATTGTCATTTTTTGTTGACTGTTAAATGATTTAATTGCTGGACCGATAGTGGGGGGCCAGCATGTAACTGTGATTCGTTGGTTTCCCACAGAAATTTTTACTCGGAGGGATTTTCAGGTGGAAAATGCCAAATGTGGTGGAAATGTTGGTAGTGTTTTTTGTGAAAGTGATCTGAAGCACATAGTAGTAATAGTTTCTGTTCTTCCTCCCAGTTGGCTACTGAGGTATGTTTTGGATTTTAGCGTATTTAAATTTGTTCTCCTCAGAAAACCGTGTCTTAAAAAAACAAAAAATAAATGAATAGAGTAGTTTTGAAAAGAAGTATGCGGAATGTTGAGAAACTGCAAAGGTTTAAGATAAAGACATCTCCTGACTGAGCTCATTCACGATGAACGAGGGAAGGATTCTGAGTGCGTCAAAAAGGCACGAATTAAAGAATGTGAAATGCAAATAGATTATTACATCTCGCTGTAGTCCTCTGCAAAGGCAGGACGTTCCATTTATTTATAGGAAAGCTTATTTGAAGAGATTAAACGAAATTGTTAAAGCTCGAGCTAAACATTCTCTAAAGCCTAAAACACCGTTTTCATTTGGATACGCAATGTCACCGAGACAAATCAACTATAATGGAATAAGTCTAGTTTAGAGACGAGGTTTCTTTTGAAAAAAGGCATTGGAGAAAAAAAATGTAAGTTCTTTACCATACCATAAGTAATGAAATCAAAATTGAACTCAATTAATTTTATCATTACATTCTTTCACGATACAAGATCTTCATCAGAGGCTGAAATGTAAACGAGTGTTCCAACACGTAAGAAAAAGGGCTATTTTTTAAGCAGTACAGTGTGCAAAATGAGTAACACATGACAAAGAAGTAGGTAAACAATTTGAAGAATATTTTTAAATAGAAAATTATGTGTTCGTTCGTTTGTTGTTTAGCCTATGAAATTTGAGCTTTTATGATCCCATTCTAGAACACATGCGTGTATTCTAGCCTCTGTTAATGACCCTATGCAGAGCTCCAGATTATGAGTGTTAATTTATTTTATAAAAATGCCCAATATGACATATTTTTCTAAAATATAATACAATTATCAAGATTTATAGCTGGCTGGAAACCATTCTCATTAAATCAACCACAGCCAAGTGTACCTAAAATTCGATAGGGATTTGATCTAAGTTTCAGGTATTGCTAAAGGATGTTGCAAATTTCTAAGAGCTGTCATGTAGCTCCGAAATTTTACCAATGACGCAAGCCGATACATATGTTTTTTCGAAACATTAGACTCGTTTCTCACGCAAAACGGGCTAACCTCTCAAGACACGATTTCGATAGCAGTAGTAAGTAAATAATTGATTCTGTAACTGAATAAATTAGGAAACTACATACGGCAATGGAACTTTTTTTATACTACGCCCTATGAAAAATTAAAGCTACAAGCAGTGCGGTAAAATAATGTGAAAATAACCTGTCATATATATAATAAATTAAAGAGCAGGCGCTGAAAAGATATCATGAACCCAATCACAAACATAGAAGGTTGCAGGTTGCAATAGTTTTTTTAAAGATAGAATAAACTTCACTGTAAAGTAAAATTTAGTAGTGCTCGCTTCAAATAGTCATGAGCTTTCAATAAGTATTTTATCGAGGTTTTCCCCTCAAAAAACCACCGAACATAATTCACTGTACTTAAAGAGATGAGTTGATACTACCCTCACAGCGAGCAAAGCGCGATGGCTACTTGCGATGCCAATGCACTAGTGACGTCAAAAATGTGTTATCTACGAGTTTTCCCTATTGGTGGGAATGGTGGGGTGTGTTTTTTTCCTCTCAGGGGGCTAACATGAAGAATAAAAGGGAATCATGTTTATACAAGTAAAACTATGTTTTCCTTATTCACATTTCCGGAACTATGGGCTTACAATGCACAAAGTTGCCTTCATAACCAGTCCATTTTACGTAAAATTACGTTAATTATTCGGTTCTTTCTTTAGATCGGTGAAAATTGACTATTTCGTATTTGAAAGGGTTAGAACCGAAGTGGCTTAATCACGTTGCATTGTCGCGGAGTTCTATCTGCCAACTTTTATTTGATTTATTATGGTACATTTTTTTCATTAAAAACAGGGAATTTTCGTTAAACCGAATATTTTGCAATCGTTCCTCAGTAGGTGATGAAATCGTTAAGTGAAAATTAGCGACGCACAGTGGATCGCGTCAATAGGAGAGGTCTGACAAAATTTGGAAAACTGGAAAAACGGAAACTGGAAATTTGGAAACTTTAAACGCGTGTGACTCCGTTTATACAAAACTTTGAGGTTCTAAAAGTGGTTCCACTGGTTTTCTCGTAAAATTTTCTTCAAGAAGCACCCCTGAATATTGAAAATGTGACGGTATAAACATCAAAATTTGCAGTTTTAGTAAAAAATGTCATGTCCGACCTCTCTAATTGACTCGATCCACCGTGCAACGTTGCAATGCAATTGGACTACATTATGCAATTTGGACCTATAAATTCCGGCCCGGTTTAAAAACAACGTATGTGCCATTAGTTTCCCTATGCACATAAGTGTTTTTTTCAGATGAGCCAGACTTTATGGGTCCAAATTACAAAATGTAGTCCAATTAAGCTCCTCTACATGGCTATCACGCCTCTATTTCTTTTACGCGCGACCAATTGTCACATAAGAGGCACCGAGGCACCCACGGCAGTTTTCAGATAAGTTTTGGAACTATAACAATATGCGAGGACTAGATTGCTTCATTGCGTTACTAACCACCAACTGGCAATTATTCGGAAAAATCTTTTCAAGCTGAACAAATAATCTCTTCTCTTCTCTTCCAAGTCGCTGAAATAATGATTACTGAATACGACTCGTTGGAGAATATAACATTCCGTTCTTTAGTTTCATGTTTCTGAAATTCGGTTTATGTTTGTTGTGTTAAAATGATGAGCCTTCTCGGCTATTGTGTGAAAAGCGAGGGTGGCAAAACGATCCTTTTTTTTCTTATAAAGCGGATAAAGTTTTTCACTGACCTAAAAGTATTTCTCCCTCGTCCCCTTTTCCCAACGCAGAAAAATTAATGAGGATAGAAGAATTATTTTTAAGTGTAAAACTCTCAAGAGGTACACTCCACTGCAAAATAGTATATGATATTATAATTTGATGCATGCACAATAATATTTACGAGCACAGTATGAGAAAGAGAAAGAAGAAATTGACGCAAAAGAATCGTTTTTCGATCTTGTACCTCCGGCATTTTAAGATCAAGACCATAAGAATTTAATATTTATTCTCAAAATTGCATAATTTTTAAATTCACATCCATACTTTGAACACCTGAAATATTTATCTTCATTTGCAGGTATGTCCAGATTGATCCGCGAATGCAATGCTTTACTACAAAATAACTCAATCCCCTTCGAGTAAGTCCTCAAGTACACCTCATATTCTCATTTGATTAAAACGAAGAAGAATTCATCATTGGAAAAGTATTATTTAGAACTAAGCAAGATGTAGAAACTCTTCTTATGAGTTCCTTCCATTGAAGGCCAAATCATCATCCTATGGCTCAAAACGTCGTTTCTTTCACGAAAATGCGTAACTCCATTTCACTGTTGCCAAATTGTCCCGCGCTAATTGCATATTTACCAGGAGAATTGGGGGCATTCCTTACTGATAATTTCACAAATTTCTCTCCTGATCTCATGCAAAAGTCACACAAATTTTCAACGAAAACTATGCAGGTTTATTCTTTAGAAAAATCGACTTGTTTGGGCCAATTTGGCAACCATGGAATAGAGTTACGCTCCTTCGTCAGGGAAACGACGAAAGGTGAAAATACATTTTTTACATCCGTAAATTCTGTGAATATTTAAATGAATTTGAATTATATCATCATTGTTTTCTCGTGTGTACAAAAGAGGTGGTCTCAGACGTTTCCGAGGAATCGTGGACATCATTTTTACTGATTTCTATAATATCGATCATATTTAATTTAATCGGAAATTTTTCCCTTTTCAAAAGGCATACCATAACGGTCTATTCTTCTTTTCATTTTTTTACAGCTGTACAGCGACTCCTGCAGGCACGCCAGTATGTTGCATCGGTCAATGTTGTTTTGTCACGAGGCGGAAGAAAGAGTTCTGGGAAAACTGGTATTTTTGGTGGGTAATTATTTTCTCTATCCTTTGGTATTTTTAGAAGTATAATGCACAGTTATTCGACAAACTCAACCAGCCTTTTTACCTTTTTCATAATAAGACGATTTCAGGCGGTTAACCGCTATTGCGTCAAGTGAGTGCTTAGGTTGCATACTGCAAAAAAATGAAGGCAAATGTTGTCAATTACACCACAGGACGGAGGGAACTCTCTGTTAACAAAGGAAAGAAGAATGTGTTCTTTGCTCCCATCAACGGTAAAATGTCTAAAGGTGCATATGAGGCTTTGCGGCGTTTGAGGTGGTAAAAACCCGGAGTCGTTTTCGCAAATGATTGCTGATACTACTAAGGGAAAGACGATCGTAAAAATGGTATCAACAAAATTTTTTTATCACTCTTACTTAGAGTACCATACGACGAACACCAAACGATTTTCATTATAACGCCTGGATACGCAACTATTCGGGCGCTATGGATGTCCGTGTTGCATACGCCCGGATTGGAAGGCGTTTTGATCCTTCAGGCGTTACCACAATTCACCCGCGGCCCGCGCCAGCACGAATTGTTGCACACTGGCAGGCGTCAGATGCGAGTATCTTTTGCGCTTCAGTTTTGATACCGCAATGTGCTGAGCATGATTTGTAGAGCAAGATCAGCCGTGGAATAAGAATGGAGATGTTGCATGTGTGAAGAATTTGCGATTTGACCATTGATTCTTATGTAATAGTTCGCGAGAAACGCGATGGTGCCACTGGTTTCCTCTGAAATCATCTCCCAAGCTCAAAAAAAAACTCTCAAAAAGAGGGCAAAACGGAGAGGATATTCCACGCTACCCTGAGAGTCCACCTCTACATCAAGACAAACTCTCCATGCAAAGATAGGGAGCAAATACATTAGCAGGGTTGCCGTGTTTTCAGTTTTGGAGTCCCCGAATAAAGTGGCAACCCTGTCAATGTATTTGCTACCTATCTTTGCATGGAGAGTTTGTTTTGATGTAGAGGTGGACTCTCAGGATAGCGTGGGATATCCCCTCCATTTTGGCCTCAACTTGAGAGCTTTTTTTGAGCTTGGGAGATGATTTCGGAGAAAACCAGTGGCACCATCGTGTTTCTCGCGAACTTTTACATAAGAATCAATGGTCAAATCGCGAATCCCTTACACATGCAACATCTCCATTGAGGGCGCTCTGCTATTTTGAATCCTGGCTATTCAGCCCAACGCGATCCGCGGGCGAATCGTGGTAATGTCTGCGGGGCGATTATTGAAATGATATCGACTGTATGTCAGCGCTTTGTCGTGTCGCGCCATCGACTAAGCAATGGCTTAGTCGATGGCGCAACACGACAAAGCGCTGACATACAGTCGATATCATTTCAATAATCGCCCCGCAG